TCCTGAGTGGGGAAAAACCCATTTGTCAAGAAAATACCGGGGCTGGGTTTCCCTTCATCAGCCTGCCACTTGGCCTCCAGGAGCCAGCCACCGAGCAGGAAGGATGCTGATGTTTCTACACCCACATAGTTTGTAGCTCTGTGCTTTGGTGTTTTTTTGATTCAGATGGTTTTTACCTCCCTGCTGCTTTCTTGAAGCTTTCTTCTTTCTTTTTCCACCCCTCAACCTTTTTTTGGCAGCCACGAGACCTCATCACAGCTGCAAGACCTTGTCATGGATGCCGAAACCAAAGGGAGGAGAAACCCCTTGAAACCCAACATGCAAACCCAGCCGTTGGGTAACCCCCCACCGCTGCTGCTGGCTTTAGCCTCCGCGACTGGGGATCGAGCCTTTGGCAGTGGTTTGCAGCTGGGGAGGGGGTTTTGGGGACTGGTGGCTGCCCCCCCACCGGTGGCGTGTTCCCACTGTCCTCCCATGCACGTCCCCGCTGTGACTGAGTAACCCCAGCGGTGCGACTCTGCCCTGCCCTGCCCAGGGCGCAAGTCACTTATCAGCCCAAGAGGGCAAAAAGCAAAGAGGAACAGATGAGGTGTCCGCCCGTGACATTGCCCAACCCACGGGCATCGCCCGACCCATGGGCATCCCCCTCCACCTGCCCCCCAGACCATGCCCAGGGCTGCGGCTCTCCCCCCTTCCTGGCCCTAAGCCCCCAAACCCACCTTGGGAGCCCACCCCGCCCTGCAGCCCGTCCCCCAAGAGACCCGGTGTGCCCATCCCAGTGCCCCGCGTGGTGTCAGGTGGGGTGGCCCCACCCCGGCAAACCTTTACTCTTCCCTATAAATAGCCCAGGCGCCTGTGCCCCTGCTCCTCACGGGTGAAGGGCTGCCATGGAGAACTTCCCCCAGTCCGTCAGTATCAACATGCAGCCCTACGGCAGGAACTGGGCAGGTTCCCCAGCCACCGCCTTTGGCCCCACCGTCACCTCTTTTGTTCAGCCGGGGCCCGTCCCCAACACCCAGGACTTCGTGCTCTGGTCCTTCTTTAACAGCATGTTCTGCAACCCCTTCTGCCTGGGCTTCATCGCACTCGTCTTCTCCGTTAAGGTGAGGGGAAACTCACTCCCATCCCACCACCTCCCTGCCCGGCTCGGGGGTCCCACCTGCTGCCTGCCCCCATGCCAGCGCTCCCTAATCCCGTCTCTTCCTGTCCCATCTTGTCCCACCTCATCTCACCCCGTCC